AATTTTTTCCATCGCCGTTCTTTTATTCATCTTGAGTGTCAATTTTTCCCTGGTGACATGACAGCGAGAAGGACCTGGACGAGGTGCTCCAGAGCCAGACGGTGTTCTCCAACGTGGGGAAAGGCACCCTCGCGAAATCCAAGGATCTCGTCGCAGCCTTTGGCACGGACGACCAGGAGAAGGTGTGCCTTGAGGTGAGCCCCTGTCGTTTCTGTGAAAGCATTCTGAAGCTTTGTGCATGCTATGCCTTTTCAAAACTCCTGATCCACAACCCCTGAACCATGACTCTCAAAGCAGAAAGGTAGGTACAGGTGATGGCAAGCTTCAGGCGGATGCGTTTATCTCCGGATTTTCTTAATATTTTGTTTGAGATCCTGCTTACATTGCACAACTGCAGATTCTGGAGAAAGGGGAGTACCAGGTGTCCGAAAAGGAGCGGGAGATGCAGGCATCCGCGTTATTAAGGGACATAACGTGCCTTGTAACGGAGCGAACAGTGAACCCTGAGACGCACCGGCCGTATCCGGTGGGCATTGTGGAGAAGTTCATCCGGGACATCCATTTTTCCGTTGACCCCAATCGATCCTCCAAGCAGCAGGCGAGTGCATGTCATGCCGTAGAGAAACAGCAATCAGGCGATATTCTACCTTTTCTTATTCTTTTTCTTCATTCTGTGCAATCATTGGGATTATATTATTTTCAACTCAAAATGCACGCAGCAGGTCGTCCAACTCCCATTTTCTTCCTGGCCGCCGTGGCATGCAAATCCCACCAATGCACAACCCCACCAGGCGCTGGATCTGATCCGCCAGCTGTCGCAGCGCTTTCCCATCACGCGGGCGCGCATGGAGCTGCGTCTTGTGCTTCCATCCACCGCGCTGCCGTCGGTGCAGGCGGAGCTGCAGCAGATGGGCGCGCTCATGCGCTCGCAGGCACAGCCAGTGGACTCTGCCCAAAACGCACCTGCGCAGGTCTCCATGGTGAGTCGTGGAGTTGTGTTTGACAGAGTCTTGAGACACCGCACAACAGACCCACACTCATAGATTTGGCATGTGAATTCTCTTCCCAGAGGTTAGATCCAGTTTGTTGCTTGCTTTTTTTTCAGATCCATTCCATACATCATCCATCATCACATGGGTTGCTTGCTGCCATATGTTCCCTCGTACGGGGGGTGCATTTCAAGTGATGCTAGACCCCTTTCTCCTTTTTGTATGTGGTGCCTGCCTGCCTGCCACCTGCCTGCCTGCCTGCTTGCTTGTGACCAGGTGTGTCAGATCGAGCCGGGCCGGTTCAGAGAAGTGGACTCGCTCATGCAGCGTGTGAGGGGGCGGCTGGAGGTGCGGGCAGCAGCAGTGCAGCAAGAGGGCGACTTGTCCTTTGACTCGCTCGACGAATCCGAAGCAATGGTTGCTGGCACTGCCATGACGGCACATGGAAGGGAAGCAGCAGCAGGAGCAACAGAGGATAGGGGAGCTCAGGCAGGCAGGGTACAGGTGCAGAGCGGTTTAGAGGCTGGGGGACGAGGAAGTGGGAGGGTAGGTGGAGGTGGCGTTGCTGGAAGGGATGCTGAGTTGCTGGTAGATGCAGCTACCAGAGCACTGGGAGGGGTTGCTGTCTCAGATGGGGTTACAGGAGGTGGTGGTGCAACAGGTGGTTCAAGTGCGGGCTGTAAGCCGAGCGGGCGGCAGCAGCGTTGCAGCACATGTGGGGATGGAGCTACTTTTGATGACACCAAGTTGTTTCGGGAGCATATGAAATCGGATTGGCACAAGCACAACATGAGGCGCAAGGTGAGGGGCATGCCTCCTGTTTCTGCGGATGAATGGGAGGCAGATACGAGCCTATTGGCAGATGAAGCACATGATTTGCATGAGTATGAGAAGTAGATGCCATTGCTGATAGGGGTTGCTTACAAATAGCTTTGTTTAGTTTATAAAGCTGAAAATTCTAAGCTTAAACCTTATGGAAAAAGTGTGCACTTCATGGTGGTGGTTCTTGAATGTTCAGCAGCTTGCAGGCACTGCAGATTGAGGCGTCATTTGAGTCACTTGGCCAGACATTTCATCCAGCTGCAAGTTGTTTGGTAGTGACTCTTAGTTTGGACATTTCTGAGACATGGTGCAGCATTTTCGGACCACGCGGACCGCCTTTCAGGTAAGTGGCGGGTTTGCCAACGGCACCTTTTGTTGGGGTCGGTTCGGCGGTGTGTGCTGTTGGGTGGTTGGGTTGGGTTGGTGTGGGTTTCCTTGCCCACGTCCTATCGTTTGAAATCGAAACTGTATTAGAGAGGATGGAGGCTGGTAAAGTGAGGTTTGGAGCAGGTGCACGACAGAAAGGAAGGGCACGCAATTGAGCTGAGCTGGTTGCTACAGTGATTTTCTTCCTCAGCGTTCCTCCCACAATCGAATCCAAAGCTGGCTGCAAATCCATAAAACCGTGGAGTCGGTGAACGGAAGGCAAGGTTTTGCGGAACCAGAGCCAGAAGTTTCCACATACACAGTCCACCACTTATGACAGAATCTTAGTAATATGATTATTATTCGCTGAAATGTCTAATGTACAGTCCGTAATCCGCGTTTTATTTACGTCATAACGCGGTTTCCTGTCCCGGCCATAAATCCTCGTCGTCCTTGACTCCTGGGCCTCCTCCTGCTCGCCCTCTCCCTTCCTCGCTGTGCACAGAACTGAAAGACAGCAACTTGGACTCGAGACTTCCAATTCGTGGCGCTTGTGTTTGGATAGGCCAAGATTGCCTGTCTTGAGTTTACAGCAGATATGAGTTACAGTCTCACTTTTTCGAATACAGTCTTACCCGGATAATCACTACGGTTTTGTCCCCTAACAAGGGGAGATTACTCTGACAGACTATTGACAAAAGTGTTTCCCGTCCTTATATCTCTCCCCTATACCTCCTCAAAGATTTCCTGATCAGCCACCCTTTATTTTTCGTAGAGAATTGAGCAGCGAAACAAGCTGTCAATCATACTGGGTGTATGAGAACCACTTTTCCACTTTTCCAGTCGTTACTGTAGCTACTGCCGAACAAGGCCACTGTCCACTCCACCACATGGGACATTTACAATTCTAGCCGCACTGGAGCAATAGGGATCGAAACCTCCTCCTTCAAATCATCCTGCTCTGAGCAATAGCTGGAAGCACGCTCACGAGTGAATGAGAGGTAACAGGTCTTGGCACCTGATTATTTATCCATTTTCAGTAATACACCCACTCATTGCACGGACCGATAATACTGTACAGAATGTGAGAGTTACACTGGCAATTCTAGAAGTACCGGAAACCATGATGTACGCATCCGACAGTGCTGACACATCTGGAATGGCAGCAACGGAGAACTATTAGTCTCGATTCGATGCAAAGGCGCAACTACTATGGAAGTGTCGCGCCGGAGTACTAACGACCCGACGTTGCGCGCACTAATCATGTTGCGACCATCGCGCGACGGACTCGTGCCGCGACAAGCCTCGGGCGGCGACGGGCTCGTGCGACGAGCCCAAGGAATGAACCTCGGCCCACGCGGGACGCCCCGTAACGCCAGCGACGTCGTCCCGTCCGTCGATTGGTCGTCCCGCGAAAGCACGCCTCAGTCCAGGCCGACGGCCTCTGGCGCCGCTGGCAGCTCGCGCGACAAATCTAACGACTCTGATTCGTTAACAAAGGCTTCTAGTCGCGTTTCCTGGGATGATGATAAGAGCAATAATGCGGCCTTACAGTATCATCGTAGTAGCACCACGACTGCTGCTAGTAGCAACGTGAAAGGAACCGCTGCTCGCAGCGGCAGCGGCGCTATCATTGGCGCTTTCGGTTCGCTACTCCGCGGCGCCGTCGATACGACAGCTTCTTCCGCCTCCGCCGCCTCCGCCGCTGGCAACTCGCCAGCGGGTTGGCTGCAGCCGAAGACGGAGGCTGACGTGGCACTGTCAGGCGACAGCGGCGGCAACGGATATGACGTTTTTTATGCTCATCAGAGCCCCAGGTTTGACGGAGAGATGATTCTGTCGCCCGTAGCGTCTTCCAGGGAAGACGACAGCAGCGTTATCATGGCTCTCCCCGCGCTGCCGCACCATGGCGGCGCGATGTCGCCGCACCGTGGCGGTGTTCAGAGCGAGGCTGCGCTTATCGGGGATTATAACGGTACTGGTAGCGGCGGTTACCCCGCGGGCGGCGCCGCTTGGTCCCCAAGCGACACGACCTCAGATTCCTCCGCGCTTCGGTGGCAGAGCTTCGCTACTAGCAATACTAGCCCTAGCAGCGCTTTAACGAATACGCCGTCAGTTGTGACCGTCAATCCCAGCTATGTCACGGGCGTTTCTACGGGCATTCGTAAAACTGTTGCCAGCAGCAGTCCTGGTAACGCTAGTAAGGTTACCAGCTCCGCTGCTGCTGTTACCCGCGGGCCCAACGCGCAAAACGGGCAAATGCCGCGCAGATGGGCGCAGGAAGCTCCGCCGCTGGCGGCGGGCTGGGAAGAGGCGGGAGCCGCCCCTGCGCCGCCCCTGGAAGAAGTCTACAGCGCGGCGCCAAAATCGAGGAAGGAAAAAATCAGCGCGGGAAGCAGCGCCAGCGGAAGCGGATTCGGAAGCGGAAGCGGAAGCGGAGGCGGAAGCGGCAGCGCGGAGGGAGGCAGTTGGGGCAGTGCCAGGGGCGCCGGGATAGGCGTGGCGACCGGCGTTGCTGCTACTACGGACGCTGGCGGAGGCATTGCCGGCGGCAGCAGCAGCAACAGTACTTGTGGTCCCGGTGGTGGTGGCAGTGTGCGTCGTTTGCGACATTCGCATAGTTACAACACCGAACGGAGTGCTGGCGCGGATCCTCCCGAGCTACAGACCCTGTCGCGGCTACAGTCGCTGTCGCGGTTACAATCGCTGTCGCGCCAGCAGCCGCTGCAGCAGCCTGCGCTACAGCCGCGTCAGCCTTTACAGTCGCTACAGCAGCAGCGGCAGTCGCTGCTACAGCCTCCGCCGCTGCAGCCGCCGTCTCGTATGCAGTCGCTGCCGTCGCGGTGGTTTGGGAAGATAGACGAGAGCGGGGAGATGTTCGACGAGTGGGAAAGCGCGGAGGGGGAGGAGGGGGAGGCGGGCGAGGCGGGGGAGGAGGGGGAGGAGGGGGAGGCGGAGCAGGGAGAGGGGAGCGGGGCGGTGGATGGAATGGATTTCTATAGAAGCAGTAGCGAACGGACGAATAGGGTAACCAGTGTTATTGCTGTCGCAAAAAGCAGTTCGGTGCAGGTTTCGAACAGGCAGGACGGGTGGAGTGGGGAAGGGCAAGCCAGGGGACGGCAGCAACCGCAGCAGCAGCAGCAGGGACGGCGGCGGCGGCGGCAGAAGCATGGGCAGGTTCGGTTCTCAGGTGCAGATCAGGAAGATTATAACGGGTTGCACCAAGACGAGGATGCTCATGACGGGTATAGCTTTGGTGGGAGCGCGAGAGGCTCGTCTGGGCGGTTTCACCGGTCGCGCAGCAGCGGGAGCCTGGCGGAAACGGGGTCCGCGGAAGGGTATTGGGGGAGAAAGGGGAAGGGGAAAGGGGAGGGGGAGAGGGAGGGGGAGGGGGAGGAGGATGGGGAGGAGGAGGGGGCTGGGGAATTGATAAGGGAGATGGGGGTAGTGTGGAGAAGGGAGGCGGGTGGGCGCGAAAGGGGAGTGGAAGGAAGAGGAGGAGACGACGAAAGGGCGACAGGTGAGGTGGAGAGGGAAGAGGAAGCGCAGAGAGAGGAGGTGCGGGAGGAGGAGGAAGGAGGGGAGGAGGACGAGGAGGAGGAGGAGGAGTTTGGAGAGGAGGAGGAGATGAGTGAGGAGGAGGAGGGGGAGAGCGAGAGAGAGGAGGGGCAGCAAGTGTTGTTTTTCAATGACACGGACAGCAGCGTGGATGGCGGCGACCGCCATAGCTATGGGCATGCGGATGGGGATAATATCAAGTGTGGGGGTGCGGATGGGGGTGGTCGTGGGGGTGCGGATGGTAATGTGGGTGGTGGCCTTGCCCGGGGGAGTGGCGGGGGGAAGAGGCGCGAGAGGAGGCGCAGGGGCGGTGGCGGGAGAGGGGAGAGTGGGAGCAGGAGCAGCATCGGGGGGGGCATGGGGGGGAGTATGGGGGGAAGCATGGGGGGAAGCAGCGTCGGAGGAAGCTTCAGGGGAAGCATTGTAGAGAGCATTGGTGGGAGTTTGGGCGGAGGAAGTAGAGGGGGAAGCATGGGCGGGAGTGGAAGCGCGGAGGAGGAGGAGGGCTCCTTAGACTACCCCCTGTCCCCTCGCTCCCTCTCCGGACGGTTCCTGGGTATTGTGATAGAGGAGGCTGCTGAGGGGGAGGGCGAGGGGGAGGGCGAGGGGGAGGAGAGGGAGGGGGAGGGGCAAGGGGAAGGCGAGGAGGATGGAAGAGAAGAGGGTTACGTGGGCCGCAGCGGCCTGTTTCAGCTGCAGCAGAAGCAGCAGCAGGAGCAGCAGCAGGCACAGAAGCAGCAGCAGCAGGGGTTGTTGAGTCGGCCACGCACCGGTGGGTCGATGAGCAGTGAGCGGCGCAGCTTCGACCGGTTCCAGGAGGAGATGTTCCAGTCGCACCGCTCCCAAGGCTCGCTCTCCCACGCCTCGCTCTCCCAGCTCTCCGAGGCTACTCCCTCCGAACGGTCCGATGGGGAGGCTGCTGCTGCCGCTGCTGCACGGCCGTGGGCTGAAGGGCCTTACTCCGGTGGTTCACATGCGGATAGAATGGAGATTTCGGAGGGAATGGAGGGAATGGAGGGAGAGGCGTTTTCACGGGAGGGGGAAGTGTTTGCCCGGGAGACAGAGGACAGGGCGAGGCTGCGGCGGCCTTGGGCAAGCAGTGAGGAGCACTATAGCGGGGATGGGAGGGACGGGGATGGGAGGGACGGGGATGGGAGGGGCGGGGATGGGAGGGGCGGCGTACGACGCCATAGCGAAGGGGGCAGGGGGACAGGTAGCGGGGGAGAGAGGGGGTGGAAGGATGGACGATCGAGTGAGGGTTGTGAGGCAGAGGCACTGCGGCTTGGATGTGTGAATCTTGGAGACGAGTATCTGAGCCCAGGCGGAGACGGCGGGGGTGCCAGTCTTGAAGATGAGTACTTGCCGCTCAAGAAAGGGCCGGGGTGGTCGCCACTTCAGCAGCAGACGCATCAGCATGAGCATGAGCATGAGCAGCGGCAGCGGCGGAGTGAGGGAGCTGAGATGGTGGGAGACGCAGCAGAGGAGATGCGTAGGCCGCGTGGGCAGAGCCTGGTGCTGGGACGAGAGGGTTTAGGGGAGCAGTGGGGCCGGGGAAGTGGAGATGAGCAACGGGTGTACAGGCAGAGAGATGACGGTAGAGGGGGAGGAGAGGATGAAGGAGAGGTTGAGGATGGGAGTGAAGGCGGATCCCTTGCGGTGGCGGCATATGAGTCCACTAGCGGACGCTCCTTGCCGTCCGATGCGCCGTGTGTGCCGCCCGATATGTCGTGTGACGCGGTGCAGATTCCCAACGAGATGCGCATTGGGGATGAGCTGGCCATCCGCTTCACCCTCACCAACAACTCCCCCCTCCCGTACGTGCTACCTGCTCCTTCCCTTCTCTTCATGCCTTGCTCCTTCCTGATCTCTCCTGCTCCTGCTCCTTCCCTTCTCTTCATGCCTTGCTCCTTCCTGATCTCTCCTGCTCCTGCTCCTTCCCTTCTCTTCATGCCTTGCTCCTTCCTGATCTCTCCTGCTCCTGCTCCTTCCCTTCTCTTCATGCCTTGCTCCTTCCTGATCTCTCCTGCTCCTGCTCCTTCCCTTCTCTTCATGCCTTGCTCCTTCCTGATCTCTCCTGCTCCTGCTCCTTCCCTTCTCTTCATGCCTTGCTCCTTCCTGATCTCTCCTGCTCCTGCTCCTTCCCTTCTCTTCATGCCTTGCTCCTTCCTGATCTCTCCTGCTCCTGCTCCTTCCCTTCTCGTCATGCCTTGCTCCTTCCTGATCTCTCCTGCTCCTGCTCCTTCCCTTCTCGTCATGCCTTGCTCCTTCCTGATCTCTCCTGCTCCTGCTCCTTCCCTTCTCTTCATGCCTTGCTCCTTCCTGATCTCTCCTGCTCCTGCTCCTTCCCTTCTCGTCATGCCTTGCTCCTTCCTGATCTCTCCTGCTCCTGCTCCTTCCCTTCTCGTCATGCCTTGCTCCTTCCTGATCTCTCCTGCTCCTGCTCCTTCCCTTCTCGTCATGCCTTGCTCCTTCCTGATCTCTCCTGCTCCTGCTCCTTCCCTTCTCTTCATGCCTTGCTCCTTCCAGCACCGCCCTCCCACTCTCTCTTCCTTCCATCCCTCATCTCCCTCCCACTCCCTCTCTTCCTCCCCTCCCCTCCCAGGCTGCAAGGCGGGGTGGAGGTGGTGGCAGCAGGGGAGTCTTCTCTTCCCAATCCCTCCTGTTCCTCCCATTTTTCTCTCTGACACTCTCTCTTCCTCCCCTCCTCTCCCAGGCTGCAAGGAGAGGTGGAGGTGGTGGCAGCAGTGGCGTGGGCGAGTGAGACTGACAGCGAGAGGGACAACGCCAGAGGGGCTCTCACATCCGGCTCACTCAAGAGGGGAGGCGAGAGGTCCGCAGGCAGGAGGCAGCGGCGGGAGAAGCGGTGCGAGTTTCTACTGCCCCCCGCACCACACCCCACAAGAGTCTTCTCTTCCTAATCTTTCCTGCTCCTCCCACACCTCCCTCCTGCTCTCTTTCCTTCCCCCCTCCCCTCCCAGCCTGCAAGGCGAGGTGGAGGTGGTGGCAGCAGTGGAGTGGGCAAGCGAGAGTGACAGCGAGAGGGACAGCGCGCGAGGGGCTCTCACGCCCGGCTCGCTCAAGCGGGGGGGCGAGAGGTCAGCAGGCAGGAGGCAGCGGCGGGAGAAGCGGGAGTTCCTGCCGCCCCTCGCCGCCCACGAGAGCGTGACCATCGACGTCCAGCTGGCGCTTGACGATTCGTCGCTGCCGGCGCCCTTCTCCCTCGCGTCCGTGTCGACCGAGCTCGTGGCAAATGGACAGCGCTCTCACAAGCGGTGAGTTGGGCAGCTCATTATATTGACTCAGCAGGTGCAGCTGGTGTCGGGGTACGTTCCATCCACGTACCAATGCGGCCTTGCTCGCCACACAGCCCCTCCCTTCCAAACCCCCCATCCTGCCTGACCCACATGTTCACCCATTATCCCCACCTCCACCCCACCCCACCCCAATCCCACACCTCTCAGGCGCAAGCAGGTGCGGCTGGTGCCAGGGTACATGCCGACCACGGCTAGCGCAGGAAGCCCCACGGGGCAATGGGTAATGAGTGCCGCGGGGGGCGTGGGGCAGCAGCAGTGGGCGGAGGTGCTGTTGCTGACAGATGAGCGCTTCACCTCAACGCAATATGGCGCGTGGCGCTCCATCTGTTGCCTGCTCGGGTGAGTGCCTGGCTGTGCGTCTACACCGTTCTCCCCTCCACCTGTAGAAAGGAAACTCCTTGAGTGCTAAGCAAACGGGGGTGCTGCTGCTGACAGATGACTTTTGAGTCGACTCAAAAGTCACCTGGACAGATGAACAATTCTCCTCCACGCAGTATGGCGCGTGGCGCTCCGTCTGCTGTCTCCTCGGGTGAGTCACCCAGCGAGTGTTGAGAGTAACCAATATAACAATAATTATTATTAAATGATTAATTTTGTGAAAAAGGAAGGCACTGATAATACATTATAGTGGTAACCATTTCAATATAAAAAATAATATTAGTAGCTATCATTGATGAACAAGCGTCACTTTTTGTTGTTGTTTTTTTTTTCTTTCTTTTTGACCCAGCCAATGGTCCAATGGAGGGACTGGCCCTCATCTCTTCCTACTTTTCAACCCAAATCCCTCACCCATCGTTTCAAACCACTACTCCTTCCACCAGGCTGCAGCACGCGGTGTGGGACATTCGGTTGCAGAAAGGTCTGCTCGCACCCGACGCCACAACACCCACCGCAGCAGCAGCAGCAGCAGCAGCAGCAGCAGCAGCAGCAGCAGCAGCAGCAGCAGCAGCAGCAGCAGCAGCAGCGGCGGCGGCAGCAACGGCGGCAACGGCAGCAGGAGGGAGGGCGAGCCCCAACGCGCCCAGCACATCAAACCCCAAATCGCCGCGTATTTCTGCCACCAGTACCGGCACCGGCACTGGCGGCGACAACAACCCTCCCGGGTGGCTATCCCGACACGCCCTCGTCGTCCTCCCCCACGCCCCCCCCACCTCCAAGCTCCCCCCCCTTCTGCTGCGCGTGCTGCCCCAGATGGTCGCGACCAGGGGAGGCGTGTATGGGGCCGAAACCGTGGGTGTGCTTATAGGGGGGGTCTCTGCCGCCCAGCTGGCAAACCACATGCTGGAGCTGGCACAGACTGTCAGGACCCTGGAGGTTCCCCTGAACCTGAGCGTGAAACACCTGAAGCACCTGAAGCACCTGAGGCAGCACCTGAAGGAGTTGACCCCAGGTGGAGGAGGAGGGGGGGTGGCGGGTGGGGGGGTGATGTCGTGCTTTCTGCCGTTTGGGCAGAGGAGTCCGAGAGGGGGCGGTGGGAGCGGCGGCGGCAGTGGGAATGGTGTGGCGCTAGCTGCCACTGCACAGGCACAGAAGCTCAGGGTGAGCTTCCTGCTCCCCTTCCTCTTACTCCCCCTCCTCCCCTCTCCTGCCTTTCCTCCTCGTTTTCATGTTGAATCGCTCCACTGGAGCGTGGAACTCATGCCACTCCCTCATTCCCGCCCCTCTTATCCAATGCCCATCCCCGCTCTCCCTCCTGTCCTGCCCCAGGCTGATCTGCGAAGCGAGTTCCCCGAGTATCGACACTTTGTGGAGATCCATCTGCCCTCGGACCAGCAGCAGCAGCAGCCGCAACCACAGACGCAGACCCAAAAGAAACAGCAGAAGCAGCAGAAGAAGCATCAGAAGGAGCAGCAGGAGAAGCAGGGGGAAGGGGGCAGCATGGCTCGAGTGCGCGTCGCCCGGGGCCATTTGCCTTCCCTCTTCCGCATGCACGCCCTCCCCCTCGCCGCTGACATCACTCTGCCGCCCACTTCCGACACCCTCGCCGCCCCCCTGCCGATCACTGCCCAGCCCATCACCTCCCACTCCCTCCCCTCCTTTCCCTCCTCCTCCCCCCCTAGCCTCACCCAGCTTCCCCGCTTCTCCGTGTCTTCCGAGCCTCCGGAACTCAGCCTGGTTCGGCGGAGGTCCGGTGGGAGGCCCGGGGTGGGCGGGGATTATTTAATGAATGAGGAGGAAGAGGAGGAGGAGATGGAGTATGGGGTGTTGAGTTCTTATAACAACGGCGGCCTAGTATCACCTTCCGCACAAGCATCAGTCGCAGCAGCAGCAGCAGCATCACCAGCAGCGCCAGTAGCAGCAGCACTTGTAAGCCCCAGAGGCGTTGCCATCCCTCCCAACTGTTACCGATCCTGGATTCAAGGGCAGGAGCTAGGCCAGGGGCAGGGGTTAGGCTTGGGACTGGGCTTTGAGCAAGGGCTAGATCAAGGGCAGGGGCTGATGCAGCAGCAGGGGGAGGGGGACGCTGGGGGGAAGGGGAGGGTGAGGCCGAGTAACCGGCTGTTTTACTCAATGCCGTTCGGCCATGCTAAGGGGAAGGGGGCAGGAGGCGGCGCAGGAGCAGGGGGGGCAGGTGTAGGGGTAGGGGCAGGGGCAGGGGCAAGTAGAACGGTAAGCATTGCAAGCAGAACGCTGAGCATGAACACAGGCAGTGGGTTGAATGTTCCCAAGTCTTGGTCTGATATGCCGAGGAGTCAGAGGCTGGGGGCGGGCGCAGGAGCGGGAGAGGGGATGGTGGGAGTGGGTGGGATGCTGTCCAGGAAGGCGCTGACTGACGTGTCGGATAGGCTGCGCCTGGGGAAGGGGGATCTGGGGCGGCTGGGTGGACAGAGTGGGGAGGGTCAGTGGGCACAGCAGGAGCATATGCAGATGCAGCAGCACATGCAGCAGCAGCAACTGGCACCGCAACAACGGAAGCAGCAGAAGCAGCAGGCAGGTCTGCCCCCACTCTCTCCTCGCACCTCGCTAACCCTCCCACACCCACACTCGCACTCACAGCCATGGCAGTCGCAACAGCACCAGCTGCAGCAGCTGCCAATGGGGACACAGCAGGCGGGCTTTAACCAGGTGCAATCCTCGGGCCCCCGGTTGTCCTCTGACTCCTCGTGTGCGTCAGGCCCTGTTTTCCAGCACTCGCAGCCTTGGCAGCATGAACCAGAGCTGCTGCAGCAGCATCAGCAGATGCAGCAGCAGCAGTACCAGCAGCAGCAGAGGATGCAACAGCAGCAGATGCAGTCCCAGCAGCAGCAGCACATGCAATCCGCAGCTGCACCCGCCCAGGCCCACCCGTCCGCATCCTCTGTGTGGATACCAGGCAGCTATGACGAGTCAGAGGCCTCGGACTCCCAGTACCAGCTCCGCACCACCAACTCTCTCCCGCACCATCCCCGTGCCTGGCCTGCCGACCCTGGGCACTCTGGTTCGGGAGGCAGCAGCGGGGACAGCTTTTGGGGCAGCGGAGGCAGGGGACTCGATGCTGCGGCTGCCGCTGACGCTGCCCCTGCTCCTGCTGCTGCTGTTGGTGGTGGTGGTTATGGTGGTGATGGCGGAAGGGGTGGTGGGGGCGGAGGGGGAGGGCAGGCGGGGCAGGCAAGAGGGCGGGTGAAGGGGAAGAAGGTGCTGAGTGGGCCGTTGCTGTCACGAGGCAGGAGGCACGGCAACAGACGTGCCTGGATGGGCCGGGCCGGTGGCATGGGCGGGGATGCAGGGGGTGGGGGAGGGGGAGGAGGGGGGGGAGGGGGAGGAGGTGGGAGTGGGGGAGGGGGAGGTCAAGCATGGGGCGATGGGGGAATGGAGGGAGAAGAGGGCTCTGGGTACGGTGGCGGTTCGGGTATGGCCCCAGACACAGCTGGGGGGGTGGCAGGCAGCATGAACAGGAACTTTCCCATGAACAGTACTACCCCTGAGATGATGCAGAAGATGATGTCTATGAGCCTCCCTGGCTCTCTGCTGCAGGCGTTCGGGCACGGTCGGTCGGACTCGGGTAATGAACAGCCTGCCATCGCTCGCACGCACACCGACTCGTCGAGACCTTCCCACCAGTCGCGGCACCACCACCACCCGGACCAGTACCAGCAGCAGAAGCAGCAGCAGCAAGCCCAACGGCAATTGCAGCAGCAGCATTCTCAGCAGCAGCAATCTCAGCAGCAGCAGAGATCGCCGCAGCAGCTATCCATTCAGGCCCCACCAGTTGTGAGCCCGAACCAGACAAGCATGCTCGGAAGCAGCTTCGGCAAGGTCCCGAGGCTGATTCCGCTGGGCGGCGAAGACTCGGTGTATGGCGCGAGTGTGATGGGGGTGCTGGCAGCGCTGCCAATGCAGGTGAAGGTGGATGTGGTGTTCAGAGTGGTGCAGTGGGGTTCCAGCCACTTTGACCTGCCTTCTTTTGAAGGTTTTGTGGGGACGAAACCCAAGCGCCTCCCTCTGCTGCTGCTGGTTTCCTTGGCTATTTATGAAGATTTGGTTCTGGATTGTCGCAGCGGGTGGCGGGACATGCCGCACTGCGCCGCCCTGCTGCAGGTGATAGAGAGGAGGGAGCGGGCGGCAGCGCCTGTCTGGGACTGGCCGCCCACTCAGCCATGCGTGGATGCTCTGATGGCGCCTCTCATGCTGCTGCACACCAATCAGATGCTGCCACGTGTCACCGGCTCCTCCTCTTCTTCCTCCCTTCTCTCCTCCACCTCGTCCTCCTCCTCCTCCTCCTCTACCTCATCCACCACTCTCACACCCGAGCAGCAAACAGCAGTCTCACAGTACGTCGCACGGGCGGCAAAGCTGTTTGGCGCTGACGTGGCACCCGCTGATGTGGCGATGCCAGACGGGCGCCAGCTGGCGGGGATCCGGCAGCAGCTGGAGGAGGCGCGGGCGGTGCTGCAGCCCCATTGGTGGGAGGAGCACTGGGCGGCAGAGGAGGAGGTGGGGGTTGTGGTGGTGGATGGGGAGGAGGACGAGGAGGAGGCGTGATGTGAGGTGGGGTGAAGAGGTGTGGTGTTAGGGAAAGGGGAGAGGAGTTGTGGAGAGATTATGATTGCAAACTCAACGTGTGCCGGCGTTTGTGTGGAGAAACAGAAGAATCATGGATCATGGATGGATGGCTGTCATTGATCCCCCACCCCACATTGATTCCCCTAGTACAGGATTATATTCATTCATACGGTACCGTACATTTCTCTTGCCTACTAACATACGTTAGTGTTTGCTGCTTTCATTTACCAGTGCTATGGCAACCAACCAGGCCCTCAGATTCGTTTTTTGCCTGTCTGATTTGTCAGACTTAGTACACTGTGTTAGTCTGATTTGATCAGACTAGGTTTGAAACAAAGGCTGAAACTTCAGAGTGTCAAGTCTGAAGCAATCAGAGTTCACCCCAATGATAAGTCTGATTAAGTGCTGGTGTGTTGTATTTAAGGTGTTTTTCAACTACATAAGGCTGGCCTAGAACATACACCCTAGCACATAACAGTTAAGTTAAGAGTCATACCGTATGGCCCCGGATATAGGCGCCGTCCGATTAAAGGCGCCGGCGCCTCTATCTGGAGCATGGCGCTTATGGCCGTTCCTCGATTATAAGCGCATACCATTTTGTACCCGTACTTATTATAAGCGCCTACTTTAATACATTTCTTTTTTTCAATTTAAGAAACTAACTACTAACATCACAAAAATTTTCATTATAAGTCTAGCACCAACAATTACATCCATCTACGATACTTCTAACTCAATGAACAGACCTTTATACAAGCCTTCCTACCAATGAACCAACTACCGTTCATACTCCTCGTCAGACTCAGGCTCCTGGCAGTTGTTGCCAAAGAAGCCATCAGCGATGATGTCGTCGTCGACATCCACTTCCGCGGTCAGCTGGGTCCGCCTGTGTGCCATCGCGAGGCCGTCCTCGCTGCCGTCAAGCGCGTTGCTAATGCCACAAGTGAGGAAGGCGCGCTTGATGAGGTCGGCGGGCACGGCCTTCCATGCCCGAGAGACCCATCGCAGGACCACTGCTGGGGGGGGCTTCTTGAGATTCCCTGCACGGACAATAACACCACGGACAGAGTTAGCGTTGCAAAGGGGAGGAGGAGTGGATAAACAAGCATATGCATCTACCGTAGCTTACAACGTACCTGCTGCTGTCAGCTGCTCCTGCCCCTCTTCTTGAAACCACTTTTGATACTGCTGGCGGATTGAAGCTTTGAAGCTTTTGTTGATAGAGACATCGAGGGGCTGCACCTCCGCCGTGCACCCAGACGGGATGACCGCCGGCACGCAGTTGAGCTCGCGGAACTTCTCCTTCACCCCCTCGGTGAGGTGACCACGGTAGCTGTCCAGCACCAGCATGGAGCTCTTCGCACACCTGCCGAACCGGGGCTTCAAGAAAGGCTTGACACACTCCTCAAGCCATCGGATGACGCCCTTCGCGTCCATCCACCCGTTCTCGTGGCACGCCACGACCACATCTGCACAGGCGTAGATGAACAAGATGTCAGTCGATTAAAGAGAAGATACAGAACACGACACAGTAATATAAACCATGACTTACCCGCCGGGAAATCGCCCTTCGGCACGGTCTTCCGCTTGAAAAACACCCAGGGCTTGAGCTTCACCCCGTCCGCCGTGCACGCGAGCATCACGGTAACTCATCTTGGCGCTTGTCGCAGTCCGGTTCAGAGAGGTACTCATCGAACGCCGAAGGGAGAAGGAGCGTGAGCACGGGCTGATTGCCCGTGAACACAGGATGCACGGGATGTGCAGGAGACGGAGGAACGGGAGGAGCAGGAGGAGCAGGAGGCGCAGGAGGCGCAGGAGGAGAAGGCGGCGCAGGAGGCGCAGGAGGTTGTGGTGGCTCTGGTGGGATACGGGAATACCACCCGTCAGCGTCAACTCTAAACGCGGGCCTAGCAGAAGGCTTCTTCTTAAACAAGAAATGGGTGCCGGTGAATTCCGCCATGGATTCCGCAGCCTGGCGGGAAAGAACGAGAAACTGAATGAAAAACTGGATGAAAGATGCAAGAAATGAAAGAATGAAGGGGACCCCTTCGGCATGGCGCCTCGGGGTCCTCGTCAATGAACGAGGGTTGCCCCTCTGCCTGAACCCGCAGAGGAGGGTTCATGGAACCATCCATGCTGCGCTGGCAGGGCATCTTCTACCCCCTTTCTAGAGGGTTCGGTCGAGATGCTCCTGCCTGGCAGCGCATGACGACCTCATTGGGCCGCACGACAGGTTACGCGTCAGCGCTGGCAGGTGCGTTGCTCCTAGACAGGTTTTGTGTGGTGGGAATTCGAATCGCGGCAAGTTTCGCCGTGATTCCATGCACGATCCCATGCGCACGTCACATCATTGTATTCGCCTTATTGAGAGCTTCAATTTGGTTCATTTGAATTCGAAAATCATTTTTGCCGTTATAAAAGCGCCGGCGCTTATGGTCGTTCCTCAATTACTAGCGCCACCCCTAAAAAAAATGATTTTATTATAAGCGCATATGCGCTACTATCCGGGGCCATACGGTACCGTACTACTACCTAGCTTGTAGCTATATATATCCTATCATATCTACTCTAGTCTACTCATCAAATCCATCATCATCACCATCGGATGCATCATCATCATCCTGCTCTATGTCTTCTACTTCCATCACCTCCTCTGTCTCCTTGGCCCTGTTCTGTTGCTTTCCTGCAGGCGGGAGAGGAGCGTTGCTGTGGGGCTTGCGCTTCTTGTAGGCCCTCCAGATTGTCACGATCTCCTCCCAGTTGGGCTCGTAGTCCATGAGGCTCATGCACATGAGGTCGCCCAGCCGTGCATCCTTCAGCGAGCCTCTCTTCCACGACTTGATAATGTTCTGCCTCGAAAACCCACGCTCGCACTCCACGGTGCTCAGCGGCAGGACAGCTACCGCCACCCACAGATGAACAAGGTTGGGATAGTTGTCCCGCCAGTCCGGCGTCTTGAGCATGGCTGTGAGTCCCGCGTGGAAGCTGCGCTCGCCCTTGGTAGAGGCTGCAAGCACCGAGGTAAACATGTGCAGCTCCTTCTCTGCACGGTGCTTGTTGACTCCTGGCGGGATTGGGTAAACAGATTGGAATGAGTAAACAAACACAAACAACGATAAAACATACGGTATTTGAATGATTAATCAAACACATAGATAGAAGCATCGCACAGTACACAAGCAGAGCAACGAAGCAGGATGATAAGGCTTACCTGGCACGATCTCCTTTGTCAGGTCGGCCTTGAACAAGGTGATCAGCGACTGTAGCCACTGAAGGCACCGCCGTTTCCTCTCAGCTCGATCCAGGGGGTACTCGTCTGGCAGGAACAGCTTCACCCCGGACATCCCATCCAGGTCGCCTAGCCGATGCTCGAGCTGGTGAACAATCACCTCCGCGAACTCCGTGCTTAATTGGAAAGGGGAATATTACATTTTAGCAAACAGTGTATGGTTTACAACTTATAGTTACATCGCGTCCACCGCGTACGTACATCACTGTTCCTATTAGCCTCGCGCCCCGACAAACACCTACACAACGGACAGGTATATCAGCAAATATGTTTGTACCATGCACGAAGGCTTTAAAGTAAACGGAACCGAAGTGCATGTCGTACCACTCGTGCTTCTATAAAAACCCCCTTACAGCTTACTGCAAAGTGTAACCAGGTGTGACTGAATGAGGTACGGACTCGACGCTGCAACGCCGTATAGCACCCCTACGGTTCACCGTTACTGTTACCATCCTGTTTCGAAGATATATTAATTCGCGCATGGTTTCGCTAAATGCATAGTTTGCCTCGGTCGTGCAATCTTCGCTCGCTCACTAAGGGCGCGGTGCATTTGGCGCAAATCCCGAAGTTTGCTTTTTAATTCGATTTAATATTTTTTTAAGCTCGATTGATTGGTCGAAAAGTTGATTTCACGAGGTTTGAGCCACGGGGCCGATTTCTGGTAGGTCGGAATGTGACCAGCGAGGATCGAAAAATGAGAATCGACCCTCGTCGAGCCGCAATAATCAATTTAGGTTACCCGATTAACCTACGTGGCTCTAACGTCTTTGTCGGAGTATCAACTGTAGATGTCGTCAAGTTTCGTCGTGTTCGTGAAGCTGCTAAAATGACCACGTTCGTAAGCACGGCTCGAATGCCCGTTGAACACGCGGTCGACTGACTGTCTGGTTACTTGACTTACGAGTCAGTATTCGAACATTGACCTGGTTTCTTGCGAAGACTATTACGACATTCAAGAACTCAGTAACCAGCTCAAGCTCGACCTGTTTTCTGAACTTCGATTCAAAAGCACCGCGCCCTAAAACGCACCCTTAACAAACTGTCACAACGGATGAAATCCAGTTCACGGTGCATACATGCTGCATGAAGGACGTATACAGCGACGAGTTCGTAGTCCATCTTTTTGGATGCCAGGGTTTAATGACATCACGCTAGGTTGGAGAAAGCAAAAGCGACGGCGTCCTGACCACCATCGTCTTACCATCGTCTCAGTATTTTTGTTAGCCCTAAACGAAGGAGCCGCAGAGAGCCATGGAAGGGGAGCCGCCCAGGAAGAAGTACTCGCGTAAGCGGAAGGTTGACGGCGACGTTTTCCTGTTCTCCGACTTCGATCGGCGCCTTCGGAAGTTCGAAGGAGGGGTAGACACCCCCGCCGATTTGATGAACGTGACTTCTAGGTGTGCCATCGCGTATGACGTCGCTAGCACGTCCTAACTGCTATCATCGCACACGCGACTAACTGTCCGTCACACCGTGGCGCCCTCGCGTGTGCAGAACAATCAAGCGCGGCGACTTAACGCTTTCCATCCTTGATCCCAGAATTTTTTTGAAGGGTGTCAATATAGACGCCATCGCCCTCCCCGACAAGTTTGCAAGGAGCGACGCGATCGCTGTCCCGATACGGACCGCGTGAGTTGCCTGCGTGCAGAGTGTCCGTGTATTCGATGCTTGCATCAGCCTCAACCCTAACACTAACCACGTGGGGATGGCAGGCCCGACGTGTCACCCTTCGCACACTGCAGCTTCGTCGCCATAGTGTTCCCGGGCGACATTCTAACGTACGACATGCGGGATGACATCCGGACGAGACTGGTCCTCGTCAATCCCCCGTCAGGTCCCCGGTTGCACGCCACTCTTGTCCGGTCGGTGACGGGGTAAGTATCGCGTCGCGTGATTCCTCGCCGAACCACATGCGTGGCCGTCTAACCTCGTGTATTTGGTTTCATCCCCGCCCGCCGACAGATGGTTCCGCAAGTACCTATGCAAAGTCAGAGAGCGCGGTAACGGTGGCCCGTCGCATAAAGAGATTGTTGATCGCATCAGGCAAATTCCAACTTCAATGTTCCCGGTAAGCTTCGTGTTAGCGACCCCATTTCGCGCAGAAGCTCATTTGCTTAACCCATCTGCGTTCCATGTGTTGTGGGTCTGTCCAGAAGTTGCCGCCGACTTACGAAGACTGGGAATGGACAGGAGGAAGATGCGTCCGCGCGCTCCACGAGGTACTGGCGCGCATGAATCGGGATGACGATGTCAGTGAGCCATTCTTGAAGCTCGAAAGGACGGACAAAGATGGAACCCAACACGTTAGGAAGATCGCAAACACCATCGACGCATGCGACGGCTGTGAGGACGAGGGGCCGTCAGTGAGCCCTGGTATTTGCGTAAAGAAGGAGCCCGCAGACTGGCGGTGTACGGGAGGACGTGCGGTGGGAGCGGCAGTCGGCGGCTCAGGGGGCCAGGCGGCCGCGCCGGCAATTGACAACGGCGTAGATGTGCGCGCAACACGCGGTGGAGCTTCCGGTGCGGCCGGTGGGCGCAACGCCGACCACGTCGCGGGAGTGGCGGCCAATGCGGCACGTCGCCAAAAGGGGTCGGGACGAGCGAAACCGGAACATGCGGTCGCCTCGTCTGCCCCGCAGGACACCGTCGAGCAGACGAGGGGAGGGGATGCAGGCCGTATCAACACCCAGAAGCTCCTCGCCAACACGGAACAGGGCCTTCTGACGGTCTTGCCGAATCACGGGGAGAGAATCCGGAATTTGGAGGCCACGAATCAGGCGATGAAGTCGATGGTGATAGCATGCATAGAGAGTATAGCGAAGACGCTTTCCGGGTTGGGAGAGGACCTCAAATCGCAGCACCCCCGCCCCCCCCCGTATCCTACAACTCCTCATCCAGGGTCCCAGGGCAACGAAAATGTTGGGTTGTGCAGGCAGGCCGGCAAAGACGTGCGCAACGAGGTAGACCCCGGGGGTGGCCAACACGCGAACGACCGGAAGCGGGTGCGGGCGGAGGGGGCGGGTTTCAAGCCCACTCCTCTGCATGATTCTCATCCTCCTGTTCCAGCTACACCGCAGCTGGCGCGGACGAGAGCCCTGACGACCAACAGCCCGTGCACGCCGCAAGGTGACTCGGCCGCAACGCGCACGCACCGTCGCAAAGCACCCGTTAACAAAAACGTCCCGGCCACGCGCGCCGATCCCGACTCCACGCCGCCCCCGTTCACCGCGCCCCAACGGAAAAGAGCACGATCCCGGGAGGGAAAACCTGCTGGCATGGTGTCCGCACCAACGCCCCCCAAGTGCCCGCCGGCAGACGGGGAGTTGCCGCAAGCGTCCGCGTCTCTGAAACGAGGGCGGTTCGATCGGGAGTGCATGCCTCCGCTCGCACTAGCACAGCAGCTGATACGGGAACGGAGCACGTGCGGCGGCGCACAGCAGGACGTGTGCGGGACCGAAGGCCCTGGCGCGGAAGCGGGGGCCGGGGCAGGCGGCAGGGCAGGAGGCGACACAGAGAAGAAGGGTGTGTCGGACGAAGGAACTCCGCGGGCCGTCGATAAGGGCGGGCTGTGCACGGTGGGCGAGGAACACGCGCGCAACGAGGTGGAAACGCAGGCGGGTGGCCGCCGCGCGGACGACGCTGGGATGGCATCGGCGGGTGGAGCAGAGGAACGTGCCGTGTGTGCGGGCGAGGAAGCAAAGGAGGTGAAGAGCACGGAGGTGAAGGGCATCTCGCAAGTGGGCAAGGAAGCGTGGACTGCCTTCGCAGTCCTTGATGGGAAGTATCGGTTCCTGGGCTCGCACGGGAAACGCGAGAGCGCTCTGTACGTCCATTTGATGGCGCGAACGGTGTTCGGCGAGCAGGTCGACATTGGGGGCCTGCGGATCACCTCGAGCAAGGCCGCGTGGGAAGCAGACCGGAATAAGGCGCGCCTCATCTCTCCCGGCCTCTGGGCGGTCATGCACGGACACGGGCTAACGAGCATCATGGCCGGGTGAGTTCCGGGTGGTGCACACCGTCGCGTACTACGTTGCACTCATTTCCATGATGCATTGGCTAAACGCACGGCTGACGGGACGTGGCGGACCGTGTTCTGTCTCTTGCAGGTACCGCGCGGTTCTGGAGGGTTTCACTGCCGACGAGGGCGACGAGGAGAGCGCGCAGTTGGCCATCTGCGCGGCCATCGGGACTGCCGCCGCCAACTTCGAGAAGCGGAGTGGCGCAACCGCCAAGGTTTTCGCTCCAGCACTGGCTGCATCCTGCGCGGCGGTGTGGAGCATATGGCGTGGAGTCCGCACCAACTGCGCCGTGGACCGCGCCGTAGCAGCGGCCAAAGCCGTTGGTGCAGAGCAGTCGCAGTTGGCGCACTGCAAGGACGTGATCACCGCGGTCCTCAACACTTTGGGTAACAGATCTCACGAGCGCAGAGAAGAGGCGAAGTCCGACCCAGACGGGCACGTTGCGTGGGTAATCGAGCAAGCGTTGGGCGGCCCAGGCCTGGCGACGAGCGACGACGCCAAGGTGGTGGCGAAAGAGATGACCGACACGCTCGGCATGTGGTCGGCTTGCACCGTCGCTGCAGGTCCTTTGGTGGAGACCGGCTTCGATATGCCCCAAACTGCCGAGATGAAACGCAAGTGCGAGATCCGGGCAGAGTCCTGGCTCGGAGGACTCCGCCCGACAGTGCAGCACGGATCTCCCCTGAGTGCTCAACCCATGCGCCCCAGAACCCAGCAGGGATCTCCCCTGAGTGCTCAGCCAATGCGGCCCAGAACCCAGCAGGGATCTCCCCTGAGTGCTCAACACATGCGCTTCAGAACCCGGCAGTTAAACACGAATCTCCCCTTAGTGCTCAACCCATGCGCCCCAGAACCCAGCAGGGATTTCCCCTGAGTGCTCAGCCAATGCGCCCCAGAACCCAGCAGGGATCTCCCCTGAGTGCTCAACACATGCGCTTCAGAACCCGACAGTTCAGCACGAATCTCCCCTGAGTGCTCAACCCATGCGCCCCAGAATCAACGGCTCGTGTGTACTCTGGTACAGGAGCCTCTCCCGGAATACATGCTCGACAGTGTACTGTACAGCCCCCGAGCCATGTTTCTAGGTTAACATCATACCGGCAGCCCCCGCCCTTCCTAGTGGGAAGTGTCTGCTAAAACATGGACAGCAGCTGACGGGTTCTCCTTGGTAGAGCATTGGGGTCGTTTGTGACAGGCATGATTTCTCGTATAATGAGACGCCCTTTGACACCAGTGGCCTAACAAGTCTTCAGAGACTTGCTAGCAGCAGCCCTTGCGGTACAGGGTTTAGGGTATATCGAAAGCGGATTATAGTTGATTTTACATGCGCTCAATCAATCTCGCATTTCAATTTAGACAGGTAGGCTTCGTATCGGTAGGCATCATACTCATTCTCAACTGGCAGACAACAACATGCACCCCTACCTACTGTTCATACTACATATCAATCATATTACTATCTATCATTCATGATACCTGCTATCTATCCTGGTACTAGCTATCGATTTTCTTGTTGTAGTAGAGGCCACACTGATGTCCACGGGTGCGGGGGCAGGGGATGGGAGAGTTGTACAAGCAGATGGGAAAAAGGAGAGACCTGGGTGGAGAAGGCGTTTTCTCGCACATGTACGATGCCAAAACATGCGTTACAAGCAGCTGCGCTTGCGAGATATGTACCGTAGTATCGAAAATAACCACCTCGTGTGTAAAAAGGTGATACGGTAATGTTTATTGAAAATGCATGCACTGCCACGGCGGTTAGATGTGGTAAGTATAAGAGATGGACTATGAGTTGAACGAGAGTCGCAATGCGAACGTTTTGGTTCACAAACTGCTTTGCTCCGACCCAAGTCCCAGATCCCATTACCCTCCGTCGCTACTGATACACCTCTGCCTCCACCCCCACCAAAGTGCAAACTACACAGAAGGCGACAACAGGCGATACTCAACAGAAAGCATCTTGGTTGAAGCACATCTGCATCTGCGTGAGAACAGAAAATAGCACCCCCCACCCTCTCCACCCTCTCTCCCCCCCCCCCCCAACCCCCCCCCTCCGCCCCCCCCCCCCCCCCCTTCCACCCTCCCCCGCCCCAGTCGGCCTTGCAGACGCCGTCGCCGGCGTCCGTCCTAGAATTCGGCCGCCTCACATTTCCGTGACCATGCCAGTTCCCTCAGATGCTGCGGGGACAACTTTGGTGCCTTTCCTCGCCCGCGACCCCCCTCTGACGCGCGGTCTCCTGCGCCCTGCGGATTTCGTCAGGTACAGCGAGCGTTCGCGCTGGAGTTCGTCGAATTTGTCCGATTGAAACCAGAAACATATAGTGTCCAGGGTTTCCTTCACGACCAGCTCGACGACGTCCTTGCCATGGTCTTCTTGGAGTTTGCTACACGAGGCAAGAGCCTCGCCGTTCAGCTGGCGAACGATGAGCGATGCCTCCTCACTCGCGACCAAGGCGTTGGCATCTTCACGCTGCTTGTTAAAATTGACAACAGCTTGCACCGCAGTATAGGCCACGGCACTGAACACATCAGCCGTAGCAGTGTCCGCACCCAACATCGTTGCCGCAAATTTGGCCTCGTCGGTCGCATTCAATATTTTCTCATCCAGAGACGCGCTGACCGCCGCAAAGCCGCACGCTATTGCCACATCGTATGACGGCACGGCCCGTTTTGCAGCAGTCGCTGCCCGTGCCCCCACCATTGCGCCAAGCAACGCGTGGATGGACGCCGAGTCGTGCCGGGAGCGGTGTTGTCGGAACCACTCGAACATTTTCCGCCACCTGCACGCACAGGGATGGGATTGACACGTGGGAGGTTTGTCGCATATGGCCTTGAAGCGAGTATAGCAAGTGGACTGGCCACCTGATACCCACCGAGACTCCCCATCAACCCGCAGCTCACCAATCAGCGGACGAGGCGAGACCGCGTTCGACCATGGCGCTCCACATGCCCGGAGGGATCAGCCTGGCGATATCCAGATCCGCTTGCCAGTCCGCCACCTCTCCAGCTCCGATCTCCACCCGCTTAACTGTCTTGTAGAAGGCCATGTGCGCCACGGCGGTGATGTACCGCGCTTCGTCCGCGTGCCGAACCCGGGCGATCCAGAACCGCCTCTTGCCCAGCCACGGTTCCGCTATAAAGTAGCCGTTCCTCTTCTTGCATGGCCGCACCCCACCGCTCTTAGAACGCACTTTCTCCTGCTGTGCTGTTCTCCCCTCGGAGGCCTCTAGCTTTCGCCCTCGACCCTTGGAGTCGCTGTGCCCCTAGGCTTCGCTTTTAGCCCCCCCCCTCGTGCACAGCTGGCACGTTTTCCCTTCGCAACGGCTGTACGACACGACCTCAAAGTCCTCCCTTCCAGTGGCACCTCATCGACCGGGGCGGCCTTCCCGCCCCCCCCCCGCCAGCGGTGGCCCAGCACGGCCGCCTCGGAGCCCTCCATGACAGCCGGCGAGTCCGCATGCAGCTGGGCCGCCGAGACCTCCACCACGTCATCCTCCTCGCCCTCCTTCTCCTTCACTCCCTCATTCACCTCATCCTCCGCCTCATTCACCTCCTCCTTCACCCCACCCCGCCGGCCGTGGCCCCGCACGGCCGCCTTGAGGCCCTCCATGACAGCCGGCGAGTCCGTCTGCAGCTGGGCCGCCACCTCCACCACGTCCTCCGATTCCTCACCTGCCTTCCCGGCCTTGCACTCCTTCTTCCTCGCCCCCTTCTCCTCCACTCCCTCCCTCACCTCACCCCCCTCCCCCTTCACTTCCTCCTTCACCTCCTCCTCCCCCTCCTCATCGGTCCTCTTCCTCTTCCTTTGCACCCCGACCCCCCGGCTCTGTGGCACGTGCAAACCCTTCCGACCCTGCGCACGCCGCGTCGTATTCCCCTTCGTCCCCACCTTCGGCGCTACCTTCTCCCCCGCCCCCTCGATCGGCTGCGCTACCCCCCCTCCCCCCCGCCTCGCCCTCACCCGCAGCTTCTCCCGTACCTCCGCCTTCTCCGTCTGTTGCGACGCCTCCCCCCCCATTGGCCCGTTCGTCGGCTCCTCCACCGGCTCGCTCTCGCGATTCGTGCTCCTCCCTTTCTGTGGAGGCGCAGGGCGTGATGCACGGCGCCTCTCTCCGTCGTATCCTCTCCCGTTCAAGCGATGGATCGCCGCATTTCCTTCTCGGAGCGTCGGGGCGGAGTTTGGAATCATAGAATGAACCCACTCCTCGTCTTCAGGCGACAATTTAGCGTCCCCCACCCGCTGGCGGTCCAGCCGCTGCAAGCACGCCTTGTGGTACTCGATGAGAATGAGGTGATCTCGCTCTCTACCTTTAGGCCACGTTTCACTCCCTGACTCCCAAACACCTACCGCATGCCCCTTGGGGATCAGTGCAAGGGCATCGGCATCCCGGATCAAGCCCGCACAAGGGGGGGCTAGGGTTCGCGCATCCACGTCTCGAGGCTGTGGTGTATCATCCACCCGCCACGGATCCCCCCCCTCCTCCTCCGGACTCCGCGTCTCCCTCCCCAGCAGCAGTCCCTCCTCTCCTCCCCCCTCTGCTGTCAACGTCGGCGCCTCCTGCTTCCTTGGCCCCTCGGTCTCTGCCTCCACCCGCTTATTCCCACCTCCCTCCTTCGGCACTACCTCCCTACCCCCCCCTTCAGTCGCCTGCCCTTCCGAAGATTCTCCCCCCCACAGAAACGGCCCGTTCCACCGTGCGCCCTCATGCATCACTCCATCCTTCTCCCCGTTCCCCTCCTCCTCCTCCTCCTCCTCCTCCTCCTCCTCCTCCTCCTCCTCCTCCTCCTCCTCCTCCTCCTCCTCCTCCTCCTCCTCCTCCTCCTCCTCCTCCTCCCCCCCCTCGCCCCCCACCTCCCGCTCCCCCCTCCCCAGCAGCAGCCCCTCTTCCCCCTCCCCCGCCGCTGTCAAGGTCGGTGCCTCCTGCTCCCCTGGCCCCTCATTCCCTGTCTTTACCTGCCCGTGATCATCTCCCTCCTTCGGTGCTACCTCCCCCCCCCCTCCTCTGGTCGGCTGCCCTTCCGATGCTCCCCCCCCCCACCGAAACGACCCGCTCCGCTGTCTGCCCTCATCCATCACTCCATCCTTCTCCCCGTTCACCACCACCACCACCTCCTCCTCTCCCGGCTCCTCCTCCTCCTCCTCCGCCTCCTCCTCCTCCTCCTCCCGCTCCTCCCCCTCCTCCCCCTCCTCCTCCTGCCCCCCCCCCCCCCCTGCTTCTCCTCCACCGCACCCCCGTCCTCTTCCGCGCCATCGCAACCCTCATACTCTCCCCCTTCCTCTTCGGCTTGTTCGTGAACGCAGCCGGTAAGGTCAAACAAGCCAAACATATCTGGTTTCAAGCGTAACGCCCCACCTTCCGGGTGGGCAAGGATCTTCTGGAACTGTGTCAGGATACTGTGAACGGCAAGGGCGCACAGCGTGTCATGATCAGCCTCGATGGGCGGCCCCTCGAATTCCTGGCGCGCGTCATCAAGGGGAGTTGGTTAGTCGTTGCACAGATACCACGCAGGAGAGAGTTGCAGTGGGCTGGGATGAGGCCGCTGGATCGGACACTCACCACGCTATTGAATGGGACAGCTGCCATGCGCAGGGCGGCGATAGTGGGGAACGCGACGTCGTGGTTGAGCGCACGCCACTCCACTTCGATCCACATGGACACGACGCTGCAGAGCACGCAGCACGAGTGAGGGGAGGTCAGTCCGGTGCCCTTGCGCTGCACGCAACGATCAACGCGCACGGCTCACTGCTTACGTCCATACGAGCCAGGGGTTTACGGCCCCGACGCATCTCCGGTCAGCGGGGGGGTTGACGTGGACCACCCGCGCGCGGATCTCGCTTCCCTCCTTCGCGGTGTCGCCAGGTTCCGCAAAGAGTGCTCGGGGGTTCATCACGGCCACAATGCTGCTGTGGGCCGGCACCTCGGGACAGTGCAAGCTGGGTGGGAAGGGAGAAGGTTGGCAACGGGTATGGTGCGTGAGTCGTTGAGGACGGAAGTGCATCCGTCCGTGTGTGCGGTGGTGTGCACGACAGCAGGGGCAGGGGACTTACTGGGGGAGAAGGAGGATGATGAGATCGTCATCGAGGAGGCCGGGTGGATACGTTCTGTCCTCTGGTCTGCGGTCCATGACGTCTAGTTCCTGACTCACATCGGTCCCTCCCATGATAAGCCTAGTACGCTTCGGGCTCGCCTGCTTCGCGGCCGCCCTCTCCATGACAAGCCTGCCGGCGCAGGTATGAAGCACGGTTAGGCACACGAGGTCAGGCAGCGCGTGAAACCGGCGTACCGACGTGACCACTCGGCAGTGGACGTGGCGTACTCACCTGACGAGGGTATCCGTGTGGTCTGCCGCCAGAGCAACGCTAGGTGCGCTCGCAGGCTCGATAACGACCCCGACACTCGGCCCACGCTCAGGACGATTCAGCGCCGCCTTGCCGGATGTCGCGCGGGCATCCGCATCCTCCTGGAGCCGTCGGCGCAGGGTTTCGACGTCTAAGGTCGGTGCCGCAGCCCTCGTGGCCTCCCCCGGGCCTCGAGTGTTCCCACTCGCCTCGGCTTGGACCCGCTCCTGGATGAGGCGCCACAACTCGAGCGCGCACTTGGTGCCCGCGCACACCTCCCCCTCCTCCTCCGTCGTGCTCGGACCCTGCCACGCACGAAAGACGCGGCGTCAGCGGAAGGCGTCGCTGGCACTGGCGTAGGCCAGTGAGCGGGCGAGCGGCGACGCTGTGCTCACCGCGTGCTCGTGCTCGAGGCGTAGCTGCATCAGGCACTCGCCCACGCGCGCCGTTGCCCCCCTTCCTCCGACCCGCCTGGCCCTCCGTTCGTCTGCCTCCAACAATGTCCAGGCTTCGAACCACCTGCAACCGGGGCAAAGCACGTTTGGTTTGTGCCGCAGTGACTGCTCGCTGTGAGGGGGGGTAAGCGCGCGAAAGCGGGTAGACGCGTTTGAAGGGCCCCTTCACGCACCCCCCAACCGCCATCCCGCAGAGATGCGCGGAACGTACCGGCAGGCAGCCCCCGCCTGGGCAGCGTGGCGGCCGGGCTCCGGCGAGGGATCGAAGTGGACCAGGCGCGTCTTGCACAGCCCGTCGCCGCTCGCAAACAGGTCGCCGGGGTTGTGCAGCACAACGATGCTCGCGTGCACACCGGTTCGCCCGGCCGTGCCCTTGCTGCAGAGGGACGGATGCACAGCGGGAACGGGCTCGCGGTGAGTGCGGGGTTGGGATTCAGCCAGGAGTATGCACGCCCGTGTATTGCTCACCCTGGCACTGCTCACCTGTGTAGCGGCCAGCACAACATGTCCTGCTCGAAAAGTTCCTCCAGTCCTTTCCATCCCGACGGTACAGATGTTTGGAGCTCTCGGATTAACGCGCCGTTCAAGATCGCTACGCGTTTTCCGTAGTGAAGCAGCGCCTGCTTCGCGATGAACCTGCGAGCGCCGTGAGGGAGGGCATTGAGGGGTGTGAGCGAGGCGGGTACGGAGCATGCACATGGGCTGTTAGCGTGGTGGTGGGTGGGGTGCCTGGGAGCATCACGTGAGGGCGTGCTGGAAGCCAATCACGGTGAGAGCCTTATCCGCGTCGTGTTTCGAAACGTCTCGGAGCATAACAAGAGGGCGTGCTGGAAGCACTTGGGGCGATAACAGTAGTCTTTAGAGACGTCTCGGAGCATAACAAGAGGGCGTGCTGGAAGCACTTGGGGCGATAACAGTAGTCTTTAGAGACGTCTCGGAGCATAACAAGAGGGCGTGCTGGAAGCACTTGGGGCGATAACAGTAGTCTTTAGAGACGTCTCGGAGCATAACAAGAGGTCGTGCTGGAAGCACTTGGGGTGATAACAGTAGTGCTAAGAGCCGTCTCAGAGCCTCACATGAGGGCGTGCTGGAAGCAGTTAACGGTGAGAGATCTCTTGTCGTCGAGCACCTCTCGATCGGCCTTAGTAAGCGGGCCGTTCGTCGATCCCCCTTCGACGTAAACGTCCTTCCAGCCGGCACTCCGTTGTTCATTTCCAGACATCGCGACGCCTTGTAAATCCGTGCTCCCGGCCCGTCGCGTCACTTCCGTCGGCACGAAGAAAGGCTCCTGCGAGGGAGCTCCAATCACACGGATGGCGGTGTTATCGTGAAAGAACGAAGCGCGCAATAGTTATCAGTATGTGATCGCACGGGCCGCCCTAGCTGGAGTTAGGTTGGTGGGTAAATGATGACCCGCCAAAATCCTCAGGGTGTTATTAAAACCGGAGGTCCAAGAGTTTCTAAGTTAGGAAGGTTGAAAGGGGAGAGAAAGGTGACTGGCTCGCGAGCCAGGGTGGTGTCGAAATTGGTGGTCTGGGGTCGTAAAGGAAGAAAATTTCGCGAAAATAACCAGATCTGGAATGCAACATCAGAACTGGTTCGCAGACAGTTTCGGACGGGCTTCAAATTTGTTGGCGAAATCGTCACTGCTTTCGTCCTCGCTAGAACAGTAGTTTCGCGTGACGAAAATTGTCCCCCCGATTTGCGAAGTGAGTCGTACCTAGTGCATCACCCCCAACGTGGCCTCCCTCCCTCCCTCCCTGCGTACGAAGATGCTCTGCCACGGTGCGAATCACCGAGTCAATGACATTGAACACCGTAACCCTTTCGGCCGCCGTTTTGGCCGCCGTTTTGGCCGCGAGTGCCTCCCTGTACACAAGATGCAAACATCATTAGTACATCTGGAAAACAAACAATCGTAAAGACGCTAAACAAATAACAAATGAAAAACATATACATACATACATACATACATACCTGTGCGCGATACAGTGGGATGACACCAGATGGGGGATGCGCAGTCGGAGGCGTGTGGTGAGGCCGGCCTTGCTGCCCATCATGACGTTGGCACCGTCGGTGCTGATCCCCGCTATGCGCTGAAGGTCGACCCCGACAGCCTGCAGGTGTGACAACAGAACACTGAGGAGGGAAGCTGCATCGGCCTTCTCCACGGTAAGAAGAGCCATGAACTCCGTGACAAGCTTGTTGTCACGGATGAAAGAGATGAAGAGGATCAGGTGCTTCCCGCTGCACCTATCCGTGCTCTCGTCAATAGCGATGCCGACGAAGGGCGACGCCAGCACGTGCTCCAGCTGGGTTGTCTGGAGCCATGTCGCAATCGCTTGCGTCAGCTCCCCGAAACCGTACCTGCATGCATAAAGAAACAGTAAGATTAACATTTGGACTAAACACTGACACAACAAAATGCATCAAATAACTTCGGGCAATTGTACTCACGTGGTGTAGTAGGTGCCATAGCCCTTCTTCGGGAAGCCAGGCACGCCCTTCTCTGCCAGGTAACGCACAAGCTTCACCCACATCCCCATCGGCGCATTGGACCTGCTGATGAACAGCAGGGAGTCGAGAAGGACGACGACGCGCGACTGCTCTCCGTCCATGGTGGCGCGATGCTGGTCGATCTGCGGCTGACTCGCTCCACACTCCTGCACAGCTGTTTGTCTCGCCATCGCCAGCTTGTGCTTAGCCGTGCCCGCGTGCTTACGGAACGACTGGGTCTGCAAGTCCGTGGCTCCTTTCCCGCGTCTCCCGCATTTGCCTCCGTCGCCAGCATAAGCTGCACACACAGTACACTTGAAGGCGGGCAAGCCGGAGGTGGTTTTGGTGATTTGCAGCCAGGGAAACCGCGCTTGCCACTGACTCTTGAACTTGTCAATGGCATCATCGTACAGCCCTTCGATGAGCTCGGCCAGGTTTATGGTGAGGCGAGGTCGCGGACGATCAGACGAGCCTGGAGAATTGTTGACGTCGCCGGTCAAGGATGAAGGCCTGGCGAAGCTCAATGTCGCCTGCTTGAGCCGGACGGATCGCGCCGTGGTCTGAGCGGGATGGTGCGATGCCGAAACATCAGTTGGTTCCGCAGGTGTCTCTGCCACAGGGTCGGGACTTGAGATTACGGGTGCTGGAGGTTCCTTCAAGGTGGGGATACAATCGGGCTCGGCGCGTGCTGCCTTCTCGAGAGCTAGGTGACTGAGCAAAAAATCCAAGCCTGTTAACGCAGGCTGCGAATCATTGTCGTCTTCATCGGAGGTAGCGGGATTGTCTGGCTGAGCCATGGCGAAGAGTTGAGAGAGCCTGCCGAGCAGGTACGAGAGGCGGTTCTGAGGCTACTGAACTGGGCAGTGGAGGGGCCCCGTGAATTGAAGCTGAGCTGAGGGATGGGGATGAAACCCTAGCTCGTAGAGGATGGCCCTATAACTGACTGTGGGCCATCCATGCCTCTGGTGGGTGGTTGCCTAGCATGCACGGCAACGACGAGGCGTGTCTGCCGTGCACGATGCTGCCAAAGGGACCAATTAACGGGTGTTCTTGGCAACGTCTGCTTGCCATCACCTTTACGTGGGTGGCAATTGCTGCAGCATTGTGGACACTGGTGGTGGTGGGGTTCGTGATGGCAGTCAAAAGCTGCCAATCGGACCAATCAATGCTCTAACAGAGTGTGTGCTGGAGCTTACACCGTGGGAAACATCGCGCCGCAGGGCGGGGGAATCATCCAGCTGTACGAGGGAAACACCGCGCCGCAGGGCGGCGTCGCCTACAGAACTTGACAGTTGGCACAGATTTCGCGTGATTGACTGTACAGGTACAATGTACCATTGGTAATCCTGGGTGTCGGTGCACAGGTAGTTACAATCAGAGTCGGTACTCGTTTGTACTCTGAATTCCTCAGAGTACACTCACGGGAAACTCTGAAATCTCAGAGTCAGCCTAGCAAAAAATATGATTTTTACAGAGTTGAAGCCAAAATAATTCTGAATTTCTCAGAGTACTCCTACAAAAATATCTGAAATCTCAGACTTTTTCAAGCAAATCAGACAAATTTCTCTGACTTCTGAGGGCCTGCAACCAACCTCCAACCAGTGCCGTCTCCCTTCACTGTGTGTGGGTTTGTGTAATGACTGTCTGTCAGTGGAGCTACTGGTAATGGGACACCACCACTTTGGTTCGGAGTTTCTATCAATCAACCGAGGCAGCAGCTATGGTACCTTGTTCATTGCCAATGACATTTGTTCCAAGGATTGGAATGAGGCAGCAGCAAATGTTTCTGTACTAGCTATCAGCATTGTTTTGAAGGATTGGAAACAATGCAGCAGCTGCCAGCTGGGTTCATTGCTGACACGGTTCGTCAGATCGGGAGGATAGAATGATATCCGTCAGCTCAGCTTGGTTGCTTTCAGGACAAGCCACACTGTCAAGTACCCTTGTAACGATGTGCACACACGATCACACATTGCACTGACTGATGATACATCACAGGCATTTCCTTCCAGCTGAGAGTCCCACTTGAAAACAATCCTCACCCCACCACCAGGTTGAGAATGCGCCCCTTGACAAAGATGGTCTTGCGCGCGCACGCTCTTCCCACACAATCTCCCTCTCCCCCCCTCTCCCCCCCCTCTCCTCTTCCTCCTCCCCCACCTCACCCCACCACCAGGTTGAGAATCCTCCCCTTGACAAAGATGATCTTGCGCACGCTCTTCTTCACACACAAATCTCCCTCCCCCCCCATCCACCCCCCCTCTCCTCTTCCTCCTCCCCCACCTCATCCCACCACCAGGTTGAGAATCCTCCCCTTGACAAAGATGGTCTTGCGTACGCTCTTCCCCTCCACCAGGCGGGCCACGTTGGGGTGGGCCAGCGCTGCCGCCACGGCTGCTTCCTGCTCCACGCCCACCGCCACCTGCAGTGTGGCGCGCACCTTGCCGTTCACCTGCACTGGCAGGGCTATCGTGTCCTCCACCAGGTACTGGGGCAGGGCCTGGTGGGGAGGGGAGGGGAAGGGGCGAGGGGAAGGGGCAAGGGAAGGTAGAGTAGGTAGAGTGAGGGGGATTGCGGTAGCCTGGCACCTGCAGTGTGGCGCGCACCCTGCCGTTCACCTGCAGTGGCAGGGCTATCGTGTCCTCCACCAGGTACCGGGGCAGGGCCTGGTAGGGGAAGAGGAAGGGAGAAACGGGAGGGAGGGCACGTGGTCAGAGCATCCATATCACGGAGCGCACCTCAAGGCCAGAGCTCCCGCCCCTTTCAACAACAGCACGCACCTTCACGCGGCTTCAGCAAGTGTGAGCACCCTCCCCCCCCGGGCTGCCAGAAGCGCCCTGCCAGACCGGGAGGGTTTCTTCTGTCCACAGAAAGGGCACCCCCTCCCTTAAACAAAGAAACGCACCTGCGGCCACGGCTCGTAGGCGAGCCACGAGGTGCCCCCCAGGCGCTGCCAGAGCCGCCCTTGCAACAGGTTTCCGCCCGTTGGTGGACGTCACTCTAGGGTGTGTACCACCCCACGCACCTGTGGCCACGGCTCGTAGGCGAGCGACGAGGTGCCCCCCAGGCGGTGCCAGAGCTCCTCGGCAACGTGCGGGGCGAAGGGCGACAGCAGCAGCACGAGCGGGCGGGCGGCGTCTTTCGGCACGTTGGGCCACTTGTAGGCGGCGTTGGTGAATTCCATCATGGCCGCTATGGCCGTGTTGAACCGCATCGCCTCTACCTCCTCCGTCACCTGGTGGTGATGGTGGGTGGAGGGGTGGGTGGTGGTGATGAGTGGTGGGGTGGTGGGTGGTGGTGGGTGGGTGGTGGGTGCAAGAATGAGAAGGTGAGTGGCTGAAATGAGTAGCACTAGAAGAGAGAGTGCCCCTCTTCCATTCCATTCCACCCACCTTGTGCATGCACAACACAGACACACGTGCACTCATGTGCCTCAAACCTGTCCCACCTGGTGCAAGCAAGCAGGGCGAAAGTGAGGCGCCGCACTGCAAGCCTCCCCTCCCTCCCCCACCAGCAAGACTGCTCGGCCCCTCCCTGCTCGGCCCCTCCCTGCTCGGCCCCCCCCTGCTCGGCCCCTCCCTGCCGCACCTTGTGGACCGGATACACCAGTGTGAGGCGAGACTGTACGTCTCCCCCTCACACCTCTCAGCTGTTCCTCCGAGGGAGCGCCGCCCACCACAGACGGCGCCACCCCTGCAGCACGTTACTGCCCCGTGACTGCCCCGTGACAGGGTCTGCCTGCCTGCCCCACCAGCGTGACTGTGTGTGTCCCCTTCCCTCCTCCTCACCTTGTGGATGCAGGCGTGCAGGGCTCTCAGCTGCTCTTTCGAAGGGGCGTCGTCCACGACAGAGGGCGCCACCCCTGCAGCGCGGTACTGCCCGGTGGTGGGGTCTGCCTGCCCCACGAGCAGGCGCCACACTCGCGCCAGGAACCGATGCACTCCCTCCACCCCCTTGGTGCTCCACACCTTGGTCTCCCTGCAAAGAGGACGAGGGGGGTTGGGTTGGGAGAGAGATGGAGCGGCAGTTGGGCACCGATGCGCTCGCCCTCCATACGCTTGGTGCTTCAACCTACACCACAGACAAGCCCAGTAAGCAGAAACCAAGGCAAATCACCTAAGGAAACACCTGGCAGTCTACGGAAACAGAACAACAAAACCATCTGAGGCGCCTCATAAACATCTTAATAATCTCCACACACAGTCACCAAGACGACCCACGTGAGCGGCCCCGTGAACATCTCGTACGGACGAAGCTAGTTGCCTAAAGCAATAACGTACTTGACAGCTCACCTGCCAGCTCACCTGCCAGCTCACCTGAGCGGCCCCATAAACATTTCGTAGAGGCGGAGTGAGTCAGCCCCAAACTCAAACACCACGTGGTCGGGGTTCACCACGTTGCCCCGCGACTTGCTCATCTTGTGTGCGCGCGCCGACACGCCCACGCTCGGGTCCGCCTTGAGCACATACCCCTCCCCCTTCTTCTCCACCGCCTCTTCAGCCACCCTCTCAGGCACACACTCCCCCGCGGGGCGCTTGGCGGCGGCGTCGGCGGAGAGCAGGGCTCCTGAGGCGGTGTCACGGTAGGCTGTGAACTCGACTTCCCCGAGAATCATGCCCTGGTTGACCAGACAGTGGAAGGGCTCCTTTGTTGACACTGCCCCTATGTCGTACAGCACCTGGTGGTTGTGGGGGGGAGAGGTAGAGGGTTAAAGTTGAACTCCACCTCGCCCAGAATCATGCCCTGGTTGACCAGACAGTGGAAGGGCTCCTTTGTTGACACTGCTCCTATGTCATACAGCACCTGGTGAGGAGGGGAAGGTTGGCGTGGGCGTGTGTTGTTTTGCCTCGACGTGAATTTCAAGTTCCAGCAGGTAGTGGTGTACACCCACCCACCCACCCACCCACCCACCCACCCACCCACCCACCCACCCACCCACCCACCCACCCACCCACCCACCCACCCACCCACCCACCCACCCACCCACCCACCCACCCACCCACCCACCCACCCACCCACCCACCCACCCACCCACCACCACACCCCTCACCTCTTTTTGTACCGTTCGTTCACCACATGAGCCCCTCGTGTGATAAGTCGATTTTTGAGTCGACTCAAAAATCGACTTTGTACACCCACCACCACCACCACCACACCCCTCACCTCTTTTTGTACCGTTCACCACATGAGCCCCTCACTCACCCCTTGCACCGCTACCGCCACCACCAGTGCCACGCCTTGCACCCGTTACACCACTCCCTCACCTTGTGCCAGAAGCGTGCATACAGCAGGTGCAGCACTGAGTGCTCTGCTCCCCCCACGTACAGATCCACTGGGCCCCAGTACCTGGTGGTGTGAGAGAGCAGGCATTAAGACAGATGGACAGAGCTGGGTTAGGTATGCCGCAGGAAGAAGTATCTGAGCTGAAGCACCTCAAAAGTCGGAGCTGGGTTAAGTAGGTCCTAGGAAGAAGAGAAAGCCTTGCTGCGGCGAGGTGCAGCGGAGCAGGGTGGGGAGAGTGCTGGGAGTGGGGGAGTGGGGAAGTGTGTGTGCTGCTACTACATTAAGACTGTGATGTGCTGCGTGAGGGGTGCAGTGGAGTGCAGCGCGGCACTGCCCAGTGCCTCTGCGCATGTGGCGACTCACTTCTCCTTTTGTGGGTCCACGAGGGCGTTGGAGTTGGCCGGGTCCATGAAACGCAGGTAGTACCTGCCATGCCATGCCATGCCATGCCATGCCATGCCATGCACACACAGGCACAGATAAGGAGTAAGAGCGTGCCACAGAGGGTGAATGAATGGCATGGCATGCAGGCTAGTAGTAGCAGGCGCGGTGGGTCGAGTTCGGTATGCAAGCACCACAATGCTGAATTGCCAGCACGTGCAGAAACCGCTAGGGGGACAGCAGCAACGGCAAAGGCACCTGTTATTAGGAATCATGTGGTTACCAGCAGCAGCAAAGGTGTGGTTACCAGCAGCAGCAAAGGTGTGGTTACCAGCAGCAGCAAAGGTGTGGTTACCAGCAGCAGCAAAGGTGTGGTTACCAGCAGCAGCAAAGGTGTGGTTACCAGCAGCAGCAAAGGTGTGGTTACCAGCAGCAGCAAAGGTGTGGTTACCAGCAGCAGCAAAGGTGTGGTTACCAGCAGCAGCAAAGGTGTGGTTACCAGCAGCAGCAAAGGTGTGGTTACCAGCAGCAGCAAAGGTGTGGTTACCAGCAGCAGCAAAGGTGTGGTTACCAGCAGCAGCAAAGGTGTGGTTACCAGCAGCAGCAAAGGTGTGGTTACCAGCAGCAGCAAAGGTGTGGTTACCAGCAGCAGCAAAGGTGTGGTTACCAGCAGCAGCAAAGGTGTGGTTACCAGCAGCAGCAAAGGTGTGGTTACCAGCAGCAGCAAAGGTGTGGTTACCAGCAGCAGCAAAGGTGTGGTTACCAGCAGCAGCAAAGGTGTGGTTACCAGCAGCAGCAAAGGTGTGGTTACCAGCAGCAGCAAAGGTGTGGTTACCAGCAGCAGCAAAGGTGTGGTTACCAGCAGCAGCAAAGGTGTGGTTACCAGCAGCAGCAAAGGTGTGGTTACCAGCAGCAGCAAAGGTGTGGTTACCAGCAGCAGCAAAGGTGTGGTTACCAGCAGCAGCAAAGGTGTGGTTACCAGCAGCAGCAAAGGTGTGGTTACCAGCAGCAGCAAAGGTGTGGTTACCAGCAGCAGCAAAGGTGTGGTTACCAGCAGCAGCAAAGGTGTGGTTACCAGCAGCAGCAAAGGTGTGGTTACCAGCAGCAGCAAAGGTGTGGTTACCAGCAGCAGCAAAGGTGTGGTTACCAGCAGCAGCAAAGGTGTGGTTACCAGCAGCAGCAAAGGTGTGGTTACCAGCAGCAGCAAAGGTGTGGTTACCAGCAGCAGCAAAGGTGTGGTTACCAGCAGCAGCAAAGGTGTGGTTACCAGCAGCAGCAAAGGTGTGGTTACCAGCAGCAGCAAAGGTGTGGTTACCAGCAGCAGCAAAGGTGTGGTTACCAGCAGCAGCAAAGGTGTGGTTACCAGCAGCAGCAAAGGTGTGGTTACCAGCAGCAGCAAAGGTGTGGTTACCAGCAGCAGCAAAGGTGTGGTTACCAGCAGCAGCAAAGGTGTGGTTACCAGCAGCAGCAAAGGTGTGGTTACCAGCAGCAGCAAAGGTGTGGTTACCAGCAGCAGCAAAGGTGTGGTTACCAGCAGCAGCAAAGGTGTGGTTACCAGCAGCAGCAAAGGTGTGGTTACCAGCAGCAGCAAAGGTGTGGTTACCAGCAGCAGCAAAGGTGTGGTTACCAGCAGCAGCAAAGGTGTGGTTACCAGCAGCAGCAAAGGTGTGGTTACCAGCAGCAGCAAAGGTGTGGTTACCAGCAGCAGCAAAGGTGTGGTTACCAGCAGCAGCAAAGGTGTGGTTACCAGCAGCAGCAAAGGTGTGGTTACCAGCAGCAGCAAAGGTGTGGTTACCAGCAGCAGCAAAGGTGTGGTTACCAGCAGCAGCAAAGGTGTGGTTACCAGCAGCAGCAAAGGTGTGGTTACCAGCAGCAGCAAAGGTGTGGTTACCAGCAGCAGCAAAGGTGTGGTTACCAGCAGCAGCAAAGGTGTGGTTACCAGCAGCAGCAAAGGTGTGGTTACCAGCAGCAGCAAAGGTGTGGTTACCAGCAGCAGCAAAGGTGTGGTTACCAGCAGCAGCAAAGGTGTGGTTACCAGCAGCAGCAAAGGTGTGGTTACCAGCAGCAGCAAAGGTGTGGTTACCAGCAGCAGCAAAGGTGTGGTTACCAGCAGCAGCAAAGGTGTGGTTACCAGCAGCAGCAAAGGTGTGGTTACCAGCAGCAGCAAAGGTGTGGTTACCAGCAGCAGCAAAGGTGTGGTTACCAGCAGCAGCAAAGGTGTGGTTACCAGCAGCAGCAAAGGTGTGGTTACCAGCAGCAGCAAAGGTGTGGTTACCAGCAGCAGCAAAGGTGTGGTTACCAGCAGCAGCAAAGGTGTGGTTACCAGCAGCAGCAAAGGTGTGGTTACCAGCAGCAGCAAAGGTGTGGTTACCAGCAGCAGCAAAGGTGTGGTTACCAGCAGCAGCAAAGGTGTGGTTACCAGCAGCAGCAAAGGTGTGGTTACCAGCAGCAGCAAAGGTGTGGTTACCAGCAGCAGCAAAGGTGTGGTTACCAGCAGCAGCAAAGGTGTGGTTACCAGCAGCAGCAAAGGTGTGGTTACCAGCAGCAGCAAAGGTGTGGTTACCAGCAGCAGCAAAGGTGTGGTTACCAGCAGCAGCAAAGGTGTGGTTACCAGCAGCAGCAAAGGTGTGGTTACCAGCAGCAGCAAAGGTGTGGTTACCAGCAGCAGCAAAGGTGTGGTTACCAGCAGCAGCAAAGGTGTGGTTACCAGCAGCAGCAAAGGTGTGGTTACCAGCAGCAGCAAAGGTGTGGTTACCAGCAGCAGCAAAGGTGTGGTTACCAGCAGCAGCAAAGGTGTGGTTACCAGCAGCAGCAAAGGTGTGGTTACCAGCAGCAGCAAAGGTGTGGTTACCAGCAGCAGCAAAGGTGTGGTTACCAGCAGCAGCAAAGGTGTGGTTACCAGCAGCAGCAAAGGTGTGGTTACCAGCAGCAGCAAAGGTGTGGTTACCAGCAGCAGCAAAGGTGTGGTTACCAGCAGCAGCAAAGGTGTGGTTACCAGCAGCAGCAAAGGTGTGGTTACCAGCAGCAGCAAAGGTGTGGTTACCAGCAGCAGCAAAGGTGTGGTTACCAGCAGCAGCAAAGGTGTGGTTACCAGCAGCAGCAAAGGTGTGGTTACCAGCAGCAGCAAAGGTGTGGTTACCAGCAGCAGCAAAGGTGTGGTTACCAGCAGCAGCAAAGGTGTGGTTACCAGCAGCAGCAAAGGTGTGGTTACCAGCAGCAGCAAAGGTGTGGTTACCAGCAGCAGCAAAGGTGTGGTTACCAGCAGCAGCAAAGGTGTGGTTACCAGCAGCAGCAAAGGTGTGGTTACCAGCAGCAGCAAAGGTGTGGTTACCAGCAGCAGCAAAGGTGTGGTTACCAGCAGCAGCAAAGGTGTGGTTACCAGCAGCAGCAAAGGTGTGGTTACCAGCAGCAGCAAAGGTGTGGTTACCAGCAGCAGCAAAGGTGTGGTTACCAGCAGCAGCAAAGGTGTGGTTACCAGCAGCAGCAAAGGTGTGGTTACCAGCAGCAGCAAAGGTGTGGTTACCAGCAGCAGCAAAGGTGTGGTTACCAGCAGCAGCAAAGGTGTGGTTACCAGCAGCAGCAAAGGTGTGGTTACCAGCAGCAGCAAAGGTGTGGTTACCAGCAGCAGCAAAGGTGTGGTTACCAGCAGCAGCAAAGGTGTGGTTACCAGCAGCAGCAAAGGTGTGGTTACCAGCAGCAGCAAAGGTGTGGTTACCAGCAGCAGCAAAGGTGTGGTTACCAGCAGCAGCAAAGGTGTGGTTACCAGCAGCAGCAAAGGTGTGGTTACCAGCAGCAGCAAAGGTGTGGTTACCAGCAGCAGCAAAGGTGTGGTTACCAGCAGCAGCAAAGGTGTGGTTACCAGCAGCAGCAAAGGTGTGGTTACCAGCAGCAGCAAAGGTGTGGTTACCAGCAGCAGCAAAGGTGTGGTTACCAGCAGCAGCAAAGGTGTGGTTACCAGCAGCAGCAAAGGTGTGGTTACCAGCAGCAGCAAAGGTGTGGTTACCAGCAGCAGCAAAGGTGTGGTTACCAGCAGCAGCAAAGGTGTGGTTACCAGCAGCAGCAAAGGTGTGGTTACCAGCAGCAGCAAAGGTGTGGTACCAGCAGCAGCAAAGGTGTGGTTACCAGCAGCAGCAAAGGTGTGGTTACCAGCAGCAGCAAAGGTGTGGTTACCAGCAGCAGCAAAGGTGTGGTTACCAGCAGCAGCAAAGGTGTGGTTACCAGCAGCAGCAAAGGTGTGGTTACCAGCAGCAGCAAAGGTGTGGTTACCAGCAGCAGCAAAGGTGTGGTTACCAGCAGCAGCAAAGGTGTGGTTACCAGCAGCAGCAAAGGTGTGGTTACCAGCAGCAGCAAAGGTGTGGTTACCAGCAGCAGCAAAGGTGTGGTTACCAGCAGCAGCAAAGGTGTGGTTACCAGCAGCAGCAAAGGTGTGGTTACCAGCAGCAGCAAAGGTGTGGTTACCAGCAGCAGCAAAGGTGTGGTTACCAGCAGCAGCAAAGGTGTGGTTACCAGCAGCAGCAAAGGTGTGGTTACCAGCAGCAGCAAAGGTGTGGTTACCAGCAGCAGCAAAGGTGTGGTTACCAGCAGCAGCAAAGGTGTGGTTACCAGCAGCAGCAAAGGTGTGGTTACCAGCAGCAGCAAAGGTGTGGTTACCAGCAGCAGCAAAGGTGTGGTTACCAGCAGCAGCAAAGGTGTGGTTACCAGCAGCAGCAAAGGTGTGGTTACCAGCAGCAGCAAAGGTGTGGTTACCAGCAGCAGCAAAGGTGTGGTTACCAGCAGCAGCAAAGGTGTGGTTACCAGCAGCAGCAAAGGTGTGGTTACCAGCAGCAGCAAAGGTGTGGTTACCAGCAGCAGCAAAGGTGTGGTTACCAGCAGCAGCAAAGGTGTGGTTACCAGCAGCAGCAAAGGTGTGGTTACCAGCAGCAGCAAAGGTGTGGTTACCAGCAGCAGCAAAGGTGTGGTTACCAGCAGCAGCAAAGGTGTGGTTACCAGCAGCAGCAAAGGTGTGGTTACCAGCAGCAGCAAAGGTGTGGTTACCAGCAGCAGCA